GCATTGAACTTCAGATCAATCTCAAAGTAAAAGGCGGTATTAAAGTCTGATTTTGTGGTGGATGTGTTCAAATTTGATCATCTTAATTCAAGTGATGAAGGATTTTGAAAGTCTGACAGTGTTGAGCACTACTGTAAGGTTAACCCGGCATTGTGTAAATGTTTGAAAATGATTAACAGTTGCAAATAAACATTCATTAGAAATGTAGAAAAGTAATCAAAAAGTAATCAAATGTAATCAGTTACATTACTTTAATAAAGTAATTGAAAAAGTTACACTACTATTACATTTTAAATAGGGTAACTTGTAATCTGTAACCTATTACATTTCCAAAGTAACCTTCCCAACACTGGATTTTACACAGTACTGTACACTATTCCAGCATGCCAGAATCTCAAAGACTGATGGTTAATCAGACAAGAATCTTGTCTAATATTTCACCGCGGCTTGACCATTGTAAACTAGCCGAGGGCGATTTGATATGACAGTGGGTGGAGTGCAGTACTCTGAGCAGTAGCTGTCTCAGAGTCTGTCTCTCTCTCACTCACTTTCTCACTACTGTAGGATCTACCCGCGCTAACAGAATGGGTGTTGAGGTTGAGACAATATCTCCAGGAGACGGTAAGACGCTATCATCTAATAAGTTTGAATTTCAAATTCAGGAACGTTCTAAACGCTCTGGCGGATTCGAATGTCGTTTGTATACACTGTAGCGGCAAAAAGCGGGAATGCGGGAACATTCTGTCGCTCTAATTACATAATCTATTTACAGTCTAGAATTTTTTTCACTGCATATTATTTGCGCAAACCTTTGAAAACTAAGATTTCAAACGAAACGCCCATGGCTATGAGGATGTTTCCCGCTCGCTGTCTAGTCAGGGATTTAACGTGTCAGTGCCCAGCAGATAATATGTGCCATGTGTGCCAACTCTTCTCATGATGATTCCTCACTGCAGCTGTCAGATTTCCTCTACAACACGCTGTAGTGTGATTTTTGCTTCTGAAATGCAGGTTGATGTTGTTGATCACGTATGTCTCAGAGGGCAGCTCTCTTGCCCTGGCTAGACATGAGCTTTGATGTTAATCTGAGGGGGGCTTTGCAGGGTAATTTGGCACAGTTGGCAGAGTCACTGGGTTTCTGAGACCTGATCTGGTCTAATGGCACAGTAAGACGCTGTTATGTGTGCCACTTTGTTGCATTATCTGTTTGCTGGTGACACCAAACTTACTGTCTGGACATGATGCCATTTTCATTGACACAATTTAGTATTGTTGACATTTATATGTACTATTCATCAAAGAAACCTGAACAAATTCTACTCAGCTGTTTTCAACATAGGCTAATAATAATAATAATAAATGATTTTTGAGCAGCAAATCAGAATATTAGAATGATTTCTGAAGGATCACGTGACTGGAGTAATGACGTTAAAAATTCAGCCTTGAAATCACAGGAATAAATTACATTTTAAAATATATTCAAATAAAAAAACAGTTATTTTAAATAGTTAAAATATTTCAAAATTGTACTGTTTCTGCTGTACTTTAGATCAAATAAATGCAGGCTTGGTGAGCAGAAAAACATAAAAAATCTTACTGTTTAAAAACTTGACTGGTAGTATATGTATTTGTATATATATATATATATGTATATATGTATGTGTATATATATATATTTATGTATATATGTATGTGTATA